TTTCTTAAGCAGCTGTGGGGCCTGATGAGCAGAGAAAAAACGGTCCAGTGTGATCGAGATAGATGGAGAAAATCTTCTACCTATATCTAGTCTCTCTGTCTCTGTCTCATTTCTTTGTCTCTCTGCCTCTGTTCTCTCTCTTCCTCCATCTCTCCTTCCTCCCTCCCTCCATCCTTCTTTCTCCAGGGTCTCACTATGTAGCCCTGGCTGACCTGGAACTCTATGTAAATCAGACTGACCTTAAATTCACAGACATCTGCCTGCCTGTCTGCCCCCTGAGTGCTGGAATTAAAGGTGTAGGCCATCACACCTAGTAATACTCCAGTTCCTATTCTCTAAATATCTAAATATTGAACATGCAGAAAGGCTATAGAAGACACATACAAAATGCCTCTTCAGATACCACCCTAGAACTTGTAACTTTAGGGATCACCTTATTCGACTTTTTAATTTTGTTAATTGAAAACTAAGGTCCACAGACTGGGGTTCAAAGACAAGGTTTTAGCATAATAACTTCCTTTGGAATATTTATAAAGTTGGTAAAGTTCCAGCTTTTATTCCTCTTGAGGAAAATTGGGATTTATTCAGAAAACCATCATTTTCCCAATCTGTGTTCATTTTCTCATTCATATTGATTGGTTGTGCTACCTAGATTTTTTGTTTTGTTTTGTTTTTTGTTTTTGTCATCTTGACACAAATTGGAGTTAATGAAGAGGAGGGAGCCTCAATTGAGAAAATGTCTCCGTAAGATTGGGCTATAGGAAGGCTGATAGGGCATTCTTTTAGTTAGTGATTGACACTGTAGTAATCTGCCCATTGTGGGTGGTACCACCCCTGAGCAGGTGGTCCTGGGTTCTATAAGAAAGCAGCCTGAGCAAGCCATGAGGAGCAAGCCAGTAAGCAACACCCTTCCATTGCTCCTGTATCAGCTCTTGTCTCCACGTTCCTGTCCTGTCTGAGTTCCTGTCTTGATTTCCTTTGATGATGAACAGTGATGAGGAAGAGCAAGCCAAATAAACCCTTTCCTCTCCAACTTGCTTTGGTCATGATGTTTCATCACAGGGATTGAAACCCTGACTAAGATATTGATTAAGTATCTTAAGTTGATAGTAGATTTTGGTAACATTCAAGATACTTCATAATTATCATTTAATATATCTTATATGCTCTAACTTACTGAATTGGGAAATACATCTAATTAATCAGGAATTATTTACATTGCTTTTGGAAGTATTGAATGAGAGGGACATATTTAGTAATTTTTTCTAAATGGCAAGATATACATAATTAGTATGCTTTCTGTTTTTCCATCAAGTATACATGGATTTAAACATCCTAAATTCTTGATTTAAGAAAATTAAATGTATTAATTTGTTATGTGTGTATATCTGTGGGTTTAAATGGACATTGCATGGCATGCACGTGTGGATATCAGAGGATAGCTTTCCATGGTCAGTTCTGCCCTACTCTGTGGATCCTACAGGTCTGACTCAGGTCCTCAGGTTTGGTGGCAAGCACTTTTGCCCACTGAGCCATCTCACTAGTCCCCCAAATTATTGATTTTTTTAAAACCTGTGATCATATCTAGTAATAGAACAAATGATAAAAACTGATAACCAAATATAATAAAAGCCCATTTTATACCATTACATCATGAAAAATGCATGAGATGACTTTACTGGAAAGAATAAACCAGGAAATGAGATTAAATTTCACAGGATGCTTAAACAAGAACCCAAAGCAAAATAGAGTAGCAAGGGCTGTAAAGACTTTACCTATGAAGTTAAAAATAACTTCAAAGGAAGGACAGCTAATTCTGTTTATGTAATCGGTTTATATTGCTCCGCAGCTTGTTGGTAAAAGTAGCTTTGAGTACTTAGAGAATATATCTTTATCCTTGCTGTGTTCCAATTAAAAAGTGCTATTGCTTCTTTTTGGAAACTAGAATCTTGAAGTGGTTCTGGGGTCTTCTGGGTGCACACAACCCCAGAAAGGGAATATTAGGCACCATCATCCCTCCGAAGACTGCAATGTGCCATGACCAAGAAGACAAGCAATAATCTGGGAAGCATTGCCAGTTGGTAACTATTCTACTGTTAGTGTCACCAGAGACTACATATCTCAAATCTGTTCCCTGTGTTTTCAGACCCACAGCGGCTCTGAAACCCGCATATTCTTTCCAGTCAAGTTAATTTATTCATCCATCCATAAACATTTATAGAATGTCTGCTTTGGGCCAGGCATGGCACTAAGTGCTGCTGTGACGTTGTTCTCACTTCAACATCGAGCAGGGAAGATTCTTCATGAGTTATGAGGATCTGTTTGCAATTCTCCTGTGGGGTCCCACGAGAATACTAGGAGATTAGAGGCCCCTCCAATGAACACAATATCCTGCCAGTCCCTGCCATGTGTGCCATTTGTCATTGACACGATGACAGTCATTTTACATTGTGGTGTCAACTCAGGAAACCAAGGAGACTGTGGGGGATGGGCAGCATTTTTCTCTATAGGACTTTCTTTCTCCTGGTGCTGTATCTGAAGCTACATGCGGAAGGCTGTGCTCTTTCTTCATCCAGAACAATGCAGCTTCTTTCTATTCCCTGCATGGAAAATACTAAAAGAAGATGTGACACTTGTGACTAGGAAACCCAAACAGCATGGTTACAGAATCTGGAGAGGGTTATGTTACCGTGTGTGTGTGTGTGTGTGTGTGTGTGTGTGTGTGTGTGTGTGTGTGTGTGTGTGTTTTGTGTGTGTGTGTGACTGTTTGTTTAATAATATAAAAGCAAAGAGTGAGGGAAAGACTAGCTTACCTTATTTGTTTATTGACTGATTGATTGATTTAATGTGTATTGTATGGCCCTGAGGGATTGTGCGCCAAGTGTGTGCAGAAGCCTGTGGAGGTCAGAAGAGGGCATTAGATACTTTTGCAACCGAAGTTACTGTCAGTTATGAACTTCCTTGTGGGTGCTGGGAACCAAACATGGACCCTCTCTAAGGATAGTGAGTGCTTCTCAGCCTTTGCTCACCTCTTTTAAACAACCCACTTTTGTAGAAACTAACTTACTACTGGGAGATGCAACTCATCCCCTAAGATCCATCAGCATTAGTCCCCTCTCAGGATTGTCATGATCCAGTCACCTCCCACAAGGCCTCTCTACTCTTAAATTTCCTAAGTTCATCTCCATATTTTTAAATGGGGAATATGACCCAGCATGAATCTTCAACCCAAAGCACAGCTTCTAGCCTGTGCTTAGTTGCTGCTGGGGCCATGTATTCTGCTAGAGTTCTTTTCTCCTCCCAGAATTAATGAATACAAAGAAACCATTCAGATGCTTATAACATGCATTCCATTTCTGACAAAATAACTGTGCTTACTACATTCAACTCTTTTCAACTCTTTTCCTATTTAGATAGTCCTAGTTGAGGATGTAGCTTAGTAGTTGAGCAGTTGCCTAGCATGTAGAAGGTCTTGGGCTCCATCCTCAACACTGCAAGCAACAACAGTAAATTCTTCAATAATACCCAGCCCTAGGTATTGCCAATCTCTTTAGAGTACATTAATTTTCACAAAAGCATTCAATGCAAATCCAATTAAATTGCAAACTCTTTGTAGGTAGGAACCTTGTCTATTTTTACTTTGTCTTCCAGAAAGGTACTGCCCCAGTTAATTACTATTGTTTGAGTCCTCACAAACAAACTCAAACCTTAATATCTTAGGAAAGGACAAATATTCAGTCAGGGGTCGTCTGCTGACCTTATTACAGAACACATTGACCTTTGGAGGAGGTAAACTCCATATTGCTGAACATCACTCTTTCCTTTCAAGCTCTTACACCACAACAACTTGGCTCCATCACAATTAATCTTGTGTGGCAATGCAGTGACAATGAGATGATTTCTCTAGAGAATCTATGCTAATACTATTAAAATGCTCTTACGATGTCAGAATGATTGCAGCGGAGCATGAGGGGACTGTGCTTATGTGATTATGATATTATAGTGATGGGCGATTACCATAGGAAACTACTAATTCAACCCTGCAGGGACTTGCATTATGAAGCCATTATAACATGAGATTATAATGACACAATAACTTGGATGCATATTCGTGATGTGAAAACTAAAAGCTAATTGGAATGCAAGTACTATTTCCATTAAATTGTAATTAAACACTGAGAGCAATGCTTGTTTAAATTTGAGATGGAGACATACAATTCAGAAAGGAAAACTGTGGGCTTTAAGAAAGGATGCATGTTGAGCATAAGCTTAAAAAATGGTTAGAAACCATTTTCAACTCCACCTTTTAGTACTAACTGCATAGAGTGGCTTCCCCAAAAAGCATCACCAAGAACTGGGATCAAGAATCCAATCCAAAAAAAATGGTTCCAGTTCCCATGCTTTCCCTACCGCCAACTCACATTCCCAACATTCTTGTTTCATTCCTTTTATGAATGTCATACTTTGCCAAGTAGAAGAGACTGAAGCAAATTATTTTTCACATAAAAATTACGTGTGTGTGTGTGTGTGTGTGTGTGTGTGTGTGTGTGTAAGTGTGTGTGTAATCAAAAGTAATCCATACTTATTTCTACTTATTTTCTTATTCTGTAGTCATGTTGATTGAACCCAGGATCTCGGGCATATTAGGTAGGTTACCCCTAACCCCATAGTGATCCATGTTTGAAAAAGATAAGAGCAAGGAGAAGAGGAGTTTGAAAAAAGTTTCTTTTAAAAGAATATCCCATCCCTAGACAAGGTGCCTACCCATCCTGGTGCTAGAGAAGGAACCAGAGATCTTTGCATGCTAGACATGCATTTTGTCACAGACCTTCTTTCATAACCCTATTCTCTATATCTAATATACTCACCTTGGTTCAAAATTTGCATTTACAACACTTTTATAATATAATTATTGATACTTGCCACTCTTTCCTGATGCAGAATCTATCTCTTATCCAAGAGAATCTAGTCGGTAAATTTTTGTTTGTTTTTTTTTAAAGGTCAGCTCAAGCTAGACAATTTTGCATGTCACCTGGGAAGCCATATTTTACTATTAGCGGATGAAACTTGGCAGCACTTCTGCCCTGTTACAGGAAAAATGTAAGTGGATTCTTCAGGGTGTATCAGTGACAACAGAGGTGCTTACTTAACAGTGCCTCCTGCTTAGGAACCGATGGCACCTGTGAGGAGGCACTGACTTCTAATTTGGTCTCAATCCATAATTGTTATATGGCTTAGGTAAACATGAAACTGGATTATGGAAAAGCAGGAACATTTAGGAGTCATAGAGCCTCTTAGATATGCAGCTGTATTAGCTTGCTTGGGTGTTATAGGGACACGAAGACACTCCTCTCTACTCATTATGACTCCAAGTGGTTATTGCTTCTTGGTTTAAATATAGTTGAGATGGGTTTTTGTTATTAAGCATTTAGTTTGCATTTAGCTATGTGGTATGCTTTAGAGTTATTTTTATTATTGCTTCTTGCAACAACCAAATTAAATAGGTGACTCTAAATTACTAAAGTCCTTATTTTTATAATTAGGAACAGGAATACACTGCAATCCAGTGGCTGCTTTGTGTCACCCAAGAACAGTGCAGCTGGAATTAGGTTGTTGTAGAAGTGTTTCTAGAGCAATGAATTGTATTTTCTTTGGTAGCACTTCCATATTAAAGAAGACCATAGGAACTCATTGTGGTGTCCATAGCTGATGTTCCTATCACTTAATAAAACAATCATGAGGTTGAGATGTTAAGAGACCCAGTTCTGGTTTAGATTACTGGACCTTTGAATGAAAAAGGATTCAGTTTTCACATCTGTAAAACAAAGACTTGGAATTGAATGACCCTTGTAGTCCCTTTCAGTTTAAAAACTCTTGGGCACATAGCATTTAACGTTAATTGAAATTTAAACATCTTCATTGTAAACACATCTTTTTAATATTTAATAAAATGCCCAATATTTTTGTTACTGTAAAATCATTGATCTAAATTCAAAACCATACTTTACTTGGATGGCATTTCACCATCTGACATGTTTTGGCAGTAGATTTGTGATTTGACTTAAAATGACTTTTTTATTCAAGAAACTGTGTAAAATTCTTAAAGTTACAGGCATAAATCAAATCTCAAAAAAAGAGATTAAAATTATAGTCCTTGGGTATTTTGGTGATTTTGATAAAGTGTATTTTAAGCTATAATTGAAGGAACGTTTTCCTTAAGAACATAGCTAAATAATTATAAATAAATAGGATGAGTCTAAGAGGTCTTAGGAAGCAGTGATAGAAATGCACAATATTGTGCTCGACAAACCTTCCTTTTAAAGAGGGAAGGTGTGTGTGTGTGTGTGTGTGTGTGTGTGTGTGTGTGTGTACCCAGGGAGACCAGAAGGGGGAATTAGGGGTACAGGTGCTTGTGAGCTGCCAGGCTCAGGTGCTAGGAACCAAACTCTAGTTTCTTTTAGGAGCAGGAAGTATTCTTAACTGCTGAGCCATCTCTTCACCCTCAGCTCCTCCCAGATCCTTCCCACCTCCCCATCCACCCAACATCATTCCCTTTCTCTCTCTCTTTTTTTGATAAAACAGCACTTTTAGTACATCAAAAACTCTAATATCTTTTCTCCAAATCAGTTCCTGTATCAGGTGCCATGTTCTCTCTTAGGACTAAGCTGATTCTGCCACCTGATTTCCTTCCTTAACCCATTGACACCCTCTTCAATCAAATTTTTCTTAACCTTGTGGTTCCACAAATTCCCAATCAAGTTTTGGATTTTGCTTTTTCATTGTTGTGATAACACAGTACAAGCAATTACTCCCTAGGATGCCGTGTTCATTTGATGTCAAAATGTTGCCATAGAGTTTCATCACTGTTTGTTTGTATCTCTGGTTTTTTTTTAAGGCCCTAATGGTTAAAAAATATTTTCACAAAGTCATGAAGCAATAACATTTGTCTTCTCTTTTATTGTGGTCTCTATTTCCCTGGAAGCCACAATTTTCTCATGGTACATTAGGGGAGATTTGGACTGAGTGAATGTTATCAGTTTGATAAAGCAGTTAGGGTTATTGAGTTTCTTTATAAGAAATTAAGTTGATTTTTTACAAGATTGTATATGACAGTTGTGCATAAATTTGCTCTTCAGAGTCTTAATTGGGGTCTATACCACTATAGCAGGGGTAGAAGTAAAAAGAAAGACTTCTTCACTTTTCTAGTCTACAGTAATCCATTTTTCTGTTACTGTAGCAAAATACCTAAAAGTGGATGATTTATAAAGAAAATAAATCTACATAGCTTGTAATTTTAGAGGTTCAAGAACATGACACTAGTATCTTCTTAGTTTGGGCATAAATCTCCATGGCTGTCCCATCATCATGGGTGGCATCATGACATCCTTGAACAGAGAAAGATCCCTAGTCAGAGAGAAAGCCAGGGAGAGTAGGAAGAGACACTTGGTGATATAACCATCATATATAAATTAACCTAGATCCCAAGAGAGCTCCTCACTTTGTTACAAGGGTGGTACCCACAATTCTTTTCACTAGACTCCATCTCTTAAAGGCCAAACCACTTCTCACATTGCCACAAGGAGAACCAAGCTCCCAGTTCATGAACCATAGGACTATGTATTTAATCCATAGCCAAACCATACTGTAGTCTTTTCAATATCTAGTCCTATAATATGTACTGTATCTACAATATAATCAACCCTACTCTCAACACTCCCTCTAATGATCAGGGTGTACCCACTCATCTCTCTGGAGCTGAAGTTAACAAGAGATATATGGAGGATAAGACAGAGACAGTCACACAAGATACTTGTGCTAGTCAGTCTTGGTTGAGGATTGCAGACTTGAGTGGTAGAGCACACCGCTGGAGGTGAATGTGAGGGCCTTTCTGGAGATAGTACACCTTAAACTCTTTTACATAATGAACGGATTAATCCCTTATTGGATTCATAATGTAATGGCACTGATGAGTGGTGGTAAACTGTAGGAAGAGAAACCTAATGGGAAGAAGTAACTTGAAGTTACAGCTTGCCCTGCCTCCTTCAGGTCCTCCTCCCCCACCCAACCAATCAATGCAGTATAGTGAAGAACACTCTCTGCTGCATGCTTCTGCAGATGGGTTTTTGCATGTACGGAAGCACACAGGACCAAGAAACCATGGAGGGAGAGTTCTCTGAAATCAGGAATCAAAATGAATCTCCACCCCTGTAATTTCTTTCTGTCTGGTATTTTGTTATAATGAAAAGGTGTACTTAAGACACTTCCCATAAGCAGTTACATGTTACACACCACAACGTGTCCTTTGTTTCTTTCCAAGAGGAAAATGATGTATATTTTCTTTGGCAGACATTTTAGGTCTTTATTAATAAATGTTGGTAGACTCTCAAAAGACAAGCTTCACAGGTCACGGGTGTGATACTATTTTTGAAGGTCTCCCAGGGGATGGCTCCAGAGCCCGCAGCAGTGTGTTCTGCCTTTAGTGAAAATGGACTGTAGCTCCTCACCCTTGTCTGAACAAGAACTAACTCCATTTCCTCATTGCTGAAATGGGAGCAATAATAAGTGGATTTCATCTCAAAGCACATCCTGTGGCCTAGTCTTCTACTGTTGGGTACTTTTGATGACTCACCTCCATCCCTTGCCTGCTTGTCCTGGACATTAGGAGACTTAATTAAAGTATGCAGGGTGTCTTAAGCTCTTCAGGGAAACACCTGAAATTATTATTTTAAATAACTGTTTTGTTGCTCAGTGATCTCTCAAAGGTAATGGAACTAGCTATGTAGAATACTGGGGCTTATACTATAGAGTTTAATGAAAATACATTCATTCGTACAATGCTATATTAATGACTGGGTTTTAAGAGTTCAAAGTTGAATTACTGGGGCCTTTCTGGCCATTCTAAGTGATTTAACTTTGGCCATCACAAAGGAACATATTTTAAAGATCAGCTAAGTATTCAAGTAATGCTGGTTGCAGTCAGCCTTCAAGACTTAGCAGTTTGTTCTCATATGGTAATCTTTTTAACACTTTTCCATATTACAGGAAAAAGAGGAGGGTGCCTGTCCAAGCTGGCATGTACCCTGAAATGTTGTCCCTGAGGTTCAAAGACAGATCCTTTAGTTTCTTTTCCTAACTTGTCACTTCTGCCTTTCCCTCCCGAGCATTCAGTCCATGCACTGCACTGGCCATTCGATTGTCACTAGAATGCAGGGCTCATCTTCGGGCCATGCCCATGTGTCATTGTGTTTTATAATGAACTAATATGAAGTCCATGCATGAGGCCCTCCATGCTGCTTGCAAGTCCCAATATGCCTTTTGTTGCTCATGCTAGGTTCCTTCTCCTATTCCAGGAAGCCTTCTTGGTACCACTCATGTTGGTGACTGTTGCCCAGACACACCCAACAGAGCATCTGCCTTGCACCTCCTTCCTGATGTCATCATAATCCATGATTTCATGAATATTTCATTAATATAGAAAACCAACTAACCTCTCATTGGTATTCACCATGTGCCAGTATATTGTCATGGCTTCTGTGACTTCCTAGTCTGTTACATTTTTATCTTCATTTTCCTTAATATCTTTCTCTGAACATGGGAGATCCTTGGCAAACATCTGCTACATTGAGTTGAAAAGTATCCAGTAAAATTGTATGCGCCTGGAAATCTTGGCTTCTTTATGTTGCCTTCCAATATCTTTTGCACTTAGATGTCAAGGTGTCCGCTATAAATTATAGCATGATTTTCCATCTTAAAACTAGCAATGGGTGGTGAAAAGTCTATATAAATAACACAATACTAAAGAGAGCATATGCCTAAAATACTTTCCATTGGAATGGAACTAAAGGATGGACAATACTAGACTAAATATTAGTTCTTTGGTTGTGGAGTGCCTATTAGTTGTCAATCACACTTATAGCTCAGCATTGGCATCTACAGCTCTGAGAGCAGGAATAGACTCAAGTAGTTAAGAAGGTAAGGCTAGTTTCAAGCCTCACTCTCCCCTCCTTCAGGCATGCCATGATGTTTGTCACACAGTTGCCCAGCTAGGAAGGAACTAAGCTCTGACCAGATCAACATCAAGAACTAGAAGAAGGCTGGCA